TCGACTCTGGAAGATATTTACCAACGCTGCAGAGGTGACATACGAATGATGAAACGGCATGTGATGACTGCACTTGTTTATGAGGATTTCACCTGTGTGATCATCATATGTTATATCCTCGTTCACGTAGCGGTTCTGTAACGCAGGTAAACATAATCAAGAGCTGATGTTTTTTGTAATGAAACTATTCTGGGCGTCAAAAAACACGTGGCTTAAAATTTTAGGAGTTTGTGAATTTTGTTTACCCTAAAAATGCTCACTTTGAGGAAGCCGCAACGGTGAAACGTTTGTCCTGTTATTTTCTTAACATTTTAGTCTATACCACATGAAGAACAATCACAAACCTATGGCTATTGTTCCTTTTATAACCAAGCCACACCGACCCGCTTTGTATCCTGTCTGGATTTCTTTTCTTTTTAACACAGAAGTCGCTGTACTGCTCCAGCCTGACTTGCTTTTGTGTGTAATGATCGTGAAAAACATTTCTTGTTACCTTTCTTGTTAGGCAATGTTGCAAAGATACTCAAATCTGACTAACAACTTTTAGAATAAAGGCTAAAGTTCTTATTGACCAGTGGTGACTGCTGGCTCCTGAGTAGTTTCACTTAACTTTCACAGCTGGGGAGATTGTTCCGAGAATCGCATCGTGAACAGAAAGGCAAAGACAATCGACATAACCTTGGCAATGCTGCCATCTATGGCAATCAAAGACAAAGTTTTAAAATCATACCAGATTGATTCAAACTGTGGCGAGACTAGGAAATGAAGTTATTAGTATAATAAACTTACTAGCTTAACGGTGATTTTAGGAGAACTCCAGTGATCTTACCGGGCTGTTTCGTCCGGCGAGGGCTACACAAGCTTGAACGGCTAATTGTGTTGTGTGGCTAATCGTCGCACATTCCCCATAGGATGACACACTGCAATGGTAGTCCTTTGGAAACTGAAAGATGTCGATACCGTGACGTGCTCTCAACAGGATATGAAGACCATCCCCTCCCGGAATGTCGTCAGCAGCTGGGCCAAACAGACGAGACGCCCGAATGACGGCGGCTGATGGCGGCGGGTGCTCTGGGCGTGCTATCGGCGAGCGCAGCACGCCGCGGGGCGTGGGCAGCACCGGCGGCCTGCGTCACCGCTGACGCCTCCGCCGACGCAGCGACGCGCACCGCCCGCTACATAACGCGCCGACCTCGCCAGCAGCGCCAGAGATCTGAAAACAGCGCCCGACGTCGCCCGCCGCGGCCGGCAGGACATCCAGCTAGAGGCACTGATCCAGTCAGCGACGCTGCCGATTGGTCGGGCCGGTGCGCCCCCTCCAGCCACCAGGTGGGCTCAGGTCGAGCGACCGACCGGCACGTACAGAGACATTGTCAGACCTGCCAGAGACCACCGGCTTCGGCAAACGATCACCGCCGAGATTACCTCTTCAGTCTTTCTCATACGTTGTTCTCTAGTTTCGCTGCACACTTTGGAGGCTACCACCAGAATACTGGAGAACTGATTGTTCTAATGTATAGAGTGCTATATTGTTCTGCGGTATCTTTTCATTGCAAGCGGGTGACAGAACGGCCTCTGACAAGGCTTTTCCAAGAAGGCCAAGTGCTGCGACACACCCTTGCTTTAATGCTTGGCCAACGCATTTAAAATAGCTTCATTATCCATTCATGCCCGTCATGCGAAACGGCTCCTAAGTATTTGTTCCGTTCCATTTCCCAATGACCCTTTAAAGGTTCTAAGCCTAGGCAAAACGTTTTACCTATATTTATGTTACGACGGGGATGATATTGTCATTCCAAAATCCTTTTAGTTCCAAAAGGTGCAGCACAGTGAAAAAACTGTCACTTGTGTACCTTTCTAGTCAGCAAAGGACGCCACCACACCGTTGCCGAGAGTACTGCCACACTGTTGCAATCAATGTGTAATGGCATCCATCTATCCATTCATGAATATTGAAGCCAAAACTTCACATAAATATTGCCGCGTAAACGATGCACGAGTTCTATAGGTACACGCTAATCAGGAGATCCTGTCTTGCCCTACACATATTCTTCAAAGTTGCCGATATACATTTCATTTGTGATATTTTTCTCTTGCGCCGGTGAACACAGCAAAACACTTCAAATCAAGTTTATATTTGTACGAGTGTTCATAAAAACATACGACTATTAGAAAGAAACACGCATTAACCAGGACAGGAGACCTTTCTGATAACCCGTGAATATCGTGATATATTGCGAATATCAATCACCGAATATTCGTCAGTTGGCATACGTGTTCTGTTTCATAAGAAACGTGAAAGAGCATTTGAGCTGTCATGTCTTCAGCCGTCTCCAGCCAGCCGATACATGACCAAACAGGCGAACGGGCCAAATCGAACTTGTTAATACGTCGAAGCCCAATGGCGTTCAGTAGGGACATCGTAGCTCTTAAGTAGGCGTGGCCCTGCAATGTTGAGCTGACCCCCGAATGTTCAGTTGCCTCCTCACAATGCTAGGCCCGCCCTCACCATGTGGATCCTGGCCCCCAATACCCTCTCAGTTCCGTGGAATATAGATAGTTTGAAAGATTGCCCTTAAATTTGGTTGAAAAGCAAACCGCTTAAAATCAAATTTATATTTGTATAAGTGCTCTGCCTAAGTAGGTCACTGACGTAAAATGGCCCAGGTCAACATTTTGTTCTAGGAACATACCGCCTGTCATAACCTCTGTCGCTTGTTCGAATGACAAAATGGGAGCAATCTCGTAGATGTGTGGTCATCTTGACATTGAAAACATTAAAAAGGGTAACTGACCTAGCTGACCTTTCCCTTAAGACACTCAAGTTTGATATTGTTGGTCCTTATTTGATCCCAAGGTCATGACCTAGGAAACTTAATTCTCAAAACAAGTGGGTCCACGTACAAGCTAATGCGTCCTGTGAATTTTGGTGTCTCCGGCTATGTAATTTTTGAGATCTCCGCAGGGGGCAAATTGGCACCCACCCGAGGGAAGGACACCGAACTAGTCACTCAGGGGCGTGTTAGTTTGCATGACCCTGTCCTGCCCCTCCTTAGGAAAAGGGCGTCAGGGCCCAGACCGGCGCGGAATCGACTGTTCGCATTGGCGGTCTCAGTGAGCTGACTGACATAAGGGCTCTCACTGTCTCAGGGTACCCTCAGTCGGTGCAAGAGGCCCTCCGACTGACACCTGAGGGTACGGCCTTCTGACTGAAGTTCTTTCATATGCCCCCCCCCCCCCTCCCTCCCCGGCCTGCCCATAGGACTCTCAGATCGAAGAACCGTTGATCGTCGGCTCTGGGGGCTTAATGACCTCAGACTGGTCACGTGCCCCGGTCAGACCGGTGCTAGCGCCACTGCTTTTTCGTAAAAACAAATAGTTTTGGTCAATTCGTGGCACCACCTGAAATTTGACATCACTTAAATTTAAAGAATTTTGAGCCATTTGTGGTGTTTCGCTGGTGTTGGGTGTCCCTCGACCGGGTGACACATCGCCCCAGGGACCAAACTAAGATTTTGTGAAATGACATGTCACGGATCTTGTGGTGCCCCTAGAATTCGGTACCTCTCGAAAGGAGAATTTGGGACCCTTTGGAGCGGCCCTGGAGCTGCAGTACAGTGTCTCTGGTGTTCGCAAGCCTTGTAAACACGGGTGGGTATGTATGTGTTTTTTTAATATGCTAACATAACAACACTGAAAGAAAGGTCCACACACGATGTCCTCACTTCCGCCACGATGTCTCTTGCGCGACATACGTGAAAACGCAATGCATGGGGCCGAAATGATGACTACGGAACTAAGTGGACGAAATCCGTGAAAGATGGCGTCTGGGAAATAGGATACATAAGGTTCATCGGTTGGCCTCCCCCCCCCCCTTCTCAAGGAAAACGTCAAAGGTCCTCCCCTGATGATTCTATGTGAAAAGTGACTAAAAAGATTATGAACCTTCAACTTTAACCTCCTTTGCCTGTAAACGCCTTTAGCTTAAAGGGCATATTTCACATTTTGAGATACGGAAACAAACATCAGATAAGATGAATTAAGCTCACCTACAACCATTGGTGTGCTTTTTTAGTAGAAAATACTACTTTAGACGACACAATTATCTGTTTAGTAAATATGCTCCTCACTGCGTCGTTGTTTGATAGGGTCATCGTACCTTGCACATCATGGATTGAGAGCCAATTGACGGCCGATATATCTGGAAATCGGCTCACGAACGCCAGATATGACCGCATCGATCATTATATTTTTGCTTGGCCAAACGGCAGGATTTGAATGACGTTGTTGTGAGGTTACGAGTGTCAAGGTGACCTTTACGTGCTTTCCCCGATATAACTTTGCCCAATTTTGCAAGCGTGTAGCTCAGAAACTAAAGGACTGATATCTTAAGAAAGGAAGAATTGTGAACCGCACCGTATTTTTTTCAAGATGGATCTTCCAGTTTAAAACCCCATACAAAATGAGAACAGTCCGTTGAAAAAGGCCACGAATGGCAAGCGATTGACAACTAGTTTGTAAAAAAAAAACACTATTTGCTCCTGGCCGCTGTTCTACCCACAAGTTCGCATTGCGCTTTCCCACTGAAAGCAACATTACAATAACAAATGTATGACGGCCTTGCAGGATGCTTTGGAGCACTTGTCTCCTCTGGGCGCTTTTCATCGCCGCCTTTGACGCGGGCGTCGGGCACGCGCCAGTGCCGCACATCCAGCCCACAGAAGATGCACTGCCATCTCTGGAGGTCATCAAGCAACCAACCGAAAAGCCCGTTACATCAGAAAGCCACACCGCCGACCACCCACAGACTGTCGACCCACAAGACCGTAGCGGCCGCCAGCCACACGAAGGTGTCAATCAACACAGTCCCTCGAAACACAATGAAAAACAACTAAACGCCCGGCGAGTGGGCAACAAGCGGTCCGGGGAGCGACGGCTGGAAGCCAGAAAAGCTGACAACAGGCGGTCTGAAGAGCGGCGGATGGAGGCCCGGCGTGTCGACAACAAGCGGTCTGAAGAGCGACGGATGGAGGCCCGGCGTGTCGACAACAGGCGTTCTCAGGAGCGACGGATGGAGACCCGGCGTGTCGACACCAAGCGGTCTGAAGAGCGACGGATGGAAGCTCGACGTGTCGACAACAGGCGGTCTAAAGAGCGACGGACGGAGGCCCGGCGTGTCGACGACAGGCGGTCTGAAGAGCGACGGATGGAGGCCCGGCGTGTCGACAACAGGCGGTCTGAAGAGCGACGGATGGAGGCTCGGCGCGTCGACAACAGGCGGTCTGAAGGGCGACGGCCGGAGGCCCGGCGTGTCGACAACAGGCGGTCTGAAGAGCGGCGGATGGAGGCCCGGCGTGTCGACAACAGACGGTCTGAAGAGCGACGGCCGGAGGCCCGGCGTGTCGACAACAGGCGGTCTGAAGAGCGGCGGATGGAGGCCCAGCGTGTCGACAACAGACGGTCTGAAGAGCGACGGATGGAGGCCCGGCGTGTCGACAACAGGCGTTCTCAGGAGCGACGGATGGAGGCCCGGCGTGTCGACAACAGGCGGTCTGAAGAGCGACGGATGGAGGCTCAACGTGTCGACAACAGGCGGTCTAAAGAGCGACGGACGGAGGCCCGGCGTGTCGACGACAGGCGGTCTGAAGAGCGACGGATGGAGGCCCGGCGTGCCGACAACAGGCGGTCTGAAGAGCGACGGATGGAGGCCCGGCGTGTCGAGAACAGGCGGTCTGAAGAACGACGGATGGAGGCCCGGCGTGTCGACAACAGGCGGTCTGAAGAGCGACGGATGGAGGCTCGACGTGTCGACAACAGGCGGTCTGAAGGGCGACGGCCGGAGGCCCAGCCTGTCTACAGCAAGCTGTCTGAGGAGCGACAGATGGAGACATGGCGGGCTGATAGCAGGCTGTCTGAAGAGCGACGGCTGGAAGCCCGGCGAGTGGGGAACAGACGTCTTGAGGAGAGGCGATTGGAGACCCGGCGTGTTGACAACGGGCGGTCTCAGGGGCGACAGCTGGAGGCCCGGCGTGTTGGCGACAGGCGGTCTGAGGAGCGAAGGCTGGAGGCCCGGCGAACCGAAAACAGGAGGTCTCAAGAGCGACGGGTGGAGGCCCGGCGAACTGACAACAGGAGGTCTGAAGAACGACGAGTGGAGGCCCGGCGTGTCAACAATAGGCGGTCTGAGGAGCGACGTTTCGAGGCCCGGCGTGTTGACAACAGGCGGTCCGAGGAGCGACAGATGGAGGCCCGGCGAGCTGACAACAGGAGGTTTGAAGAGCGACGTCTCGAGGCCCGGCGTGTTGGCAACAGGCGGCCTGAGGGGCGACAGATGGAGGCCCGGGATGTTGACAACAGGAGGTCTGAAGAGCGACGTCTCGAGGCGCAGCGTGTTGACAACAGGCGGTCTGAAGGGCGACAGATGGAGGCCCGGCGTGTTGACAACAGAAGGTCTGAGGAGCGACGTCTCGAGGCCCGACGTGTTGGCAACAGGCGGTCTGAAGAGCGACGGCTGGAGGCCCGGCGTGTTGACAACAGGCGGTCTGAAGGGCGACAGATGGAGGCCCGGCGTGTTGACAACAGAAGGTCTGAGGAGCGACGTCTCGAGGCCCGACGTGTTGGCAACAGGCGGTCTGAAGAGCGACGGCTGGAGGCCCGGCGTGTTGACAACAGGCGGTCTGAGGAGCGACAGATGGAGGCCCGGCGTGTGAACAATAGGCGGTCTGAGGAGCGGCGTCTCGAGGCCCGGCGAGCTGACAACAGGAGGTCTGAAGAGCGACAGATGGAGGCCCGGCGAGCTGAAAACAGGGGGTCTGAAGAGCGACGTCTCGATGCCCGGCGTGTTGGCAATAGACGGTCTGAAGAGCGACAGACGGACGCTCGACGTGTCGACAACCGCCAGTCTAAGGAGCGACGGCTGGAGGCCCGGCGAGGTGACAACAGGCGTTCTGAACTGCGACGAGTGGAAGCCAGACAAGCCAGCAACAGGCGTTCCACGGAGCATCGATGGGAGGACTGGCAGCAAGGCAGCAGTGAACACCGTCTAGAACTGAAAGGCCTAAAAACCGACAACCTTGTTAACATGGAGACAACGCTCCCGAGGCATGCTGCTGATGCCGAGCTCTTTGCTCCCTTTTCTTTGAATGCCGAAGAGACCACGGTGAGCAAGCTACTAATAAATTTAGAAGCGTTTGTGGTTTAAGACAACGAATGAACATCATGTTCAAGCATATAAGTGTCCCCTGTCTTGCCTCTTTGGGAGTAGTTGTTCATTTCAATATGCTTCAGGGGACGACTCGTAGTCACTACCGCATACTGGTCATCATGTTGATGTTTGATTATTTCTGGTTGCGACATGAAGTAATGTTTAGTAATAATCAATCCCCCACAGAAATCGATTCGCGTCAAGAAGCCGTCTCTGAAACCGAAGTACAGCAACGTTCCGTTTTATTCAAAGTAAGTAACGTCGCACTTGTTACCAGCATAGACGCACCAGACTTTCTGTCTACAACGTTACATTTATGTTAATGATATTCATTGTGACGATGCAAAAGCAAAGCTGTCCACATTTCTCAAGGCGTGAACAGCCAGCATGGTGCCTGACGCTGGCGGCGCAAGGCGTGCAGGCGTGCTCGATGTCACGTGCGCCTGCACTGACCCCGTTCCGCTGCTCTGATAGTGCTTGTCAGGGTGCTGGCTGCGGTCAACCTGCCACCGAGATAAGGTCGGCCCAGTGGTGCCTGCTCTGATGGAGGTGTCGGACCTGACCTGACCCGGGCCGGGTTCTGTGTTGCAGACCGATGGGCGGTGCGTCCCTGGGCACCTCTTTCTGGACCGGAGTTGTCGGCCTGGCGCTCTGGACACTGCGTCCGCAGACCAAGGTCCTCTAGATCGACCCGTACCTCGCATTGTTATTCGTCACTTGGTTACGGTGCTCTCAGGCTGCCCTTTAGACCGCTTCGAGAGCGCTGTTGTTAATAAGTTGCGCATCGTTATGAAATTTAGCTGTGAAATATATTATGCACCTCATAAAACGCGTTTTGAACCAGTGAGTAGTGGTTGCAGCAAACCGGCGAAGCAACACATCAATAAAAGTTGTTGGTCGTTAACTTAGCACCGGCAGCCCTCAAACGCTATGACTTCAGCACAACGGCGCAAACGCTGTGAGAACAGCTTTCATCCACCAGCCTCAACCATGTCCATGCTGGTCACGAGCCCTTGCTTTATTTCTATGCCGGTCAAATACTGAAACTTTTAGAGAATATTGGCATTTTATCTATGTTGTAGGCAGCCTAAAGTTGTTGCGTGGAACATTATTTTCGCCATTGTTCTCACCTCAATAATGACGGCGATCAGCACCTCATATCATATTTCACACGGTCTGCACAGAAGTCTGTCCAAGTCTGGCTCAAAATCCGGCCAAAAGCCTGTGGGTTCTTGCCAGGTCTGATGTGACGGTTTGGCGGGTGGAAAAGTTGCGTCTTTGTTAGAGTTTTCTTAAAGTCCACCCCTTAGCTATGATACCGATACTTGATCGATGCCACCAGCGCTCAAAATCAGTCATACAATTGGTAACGAATGCGACTAGTTGTTCCACATGTTCCCAATTCTTACATAGAGACAGGATGCCGTTATTTAAGAAGCCTCCAGTTCCAATTCCCGAGCCGCAAAAAGCAGCCTGAAATACGTGACATGGGAGTCGGGGACTGTGTTACTCATGGTGTTATTCAACTTACAAATATTTGTTATCTAAGCACATGTCTTTATTTCTCTTATCCCGGCCGACTTCATTCCCATTGGCTAGGCCAAGATGAAACATGCCACTTTTTGGACTTTTCACTTATTGGTAGATCAGACGCATGATTTTATCAGCGATACCATTTGGAAAGAGGTATGACATGGTCTATAATAAAGTTTTGAATCAAATCTCGACCGGTTCGCTTCTTGGCAAATCCCTTTTGCCGCCCGCTGTGCGAACCACAAACGCTAATTTGTCCTGACGTCCTTCATACCAGCAGCTGCTCCGTTCGGGACTGATTCTGAAGAAATTCTTTTCTGGTGAGGGAGGGGAGGGGGGGGAGGGGTGTCAACTTGGCCTGCCTCTCGCGGGCGTACTAGCATTCATGGTCATATCCGAGGGATGCGAAAGGGGGCAAACGGAAGCCGAAATTTTCGCAACATTCCTTACAGTAATGCATACAAGAAAATCAAATATCGGTGAAACAAGCGGACAGACCGAATGAGTACAATAAATCTACTTCCCTGCACAAGACAGAGCCCAGAGGCGAACTGGCAGGTGCATGAGTTTTCCAATTTAAGGTACCTTAACCCTCGCCCTGGTATGCCGTTTTTCACAACGCCGACTGATAGGGGGGAGGGTCGATATAACCACCTCCCATCCCGTTTCCAACAAAATAAGTATAGATCTTGGCGTATAACATCACCGTATTGTTCGTCAAGAGATCTCATGGTTGGTAACAATTTCTATGCTACTAGCTCAACGAATGGCCGCACTGCGCCAGGTCAAGGATCAAATTATCTCGAAATGGAGGTTTTTCGTACTTACACGTTCACCTCAACAAGACCATGCCTTAAAGCGACACACAATCTAACCAGCCGTGCCAGTACAAATTGCAGAACAACAATATATCGGTACATTCGATTCAACCACATATTCATCATGCATGCCTCGTTTGATGTTACGACGCCGGCCAGTGTTGGGATGCAATGTATCTGCATAATTTCCCTTCATACAGGGAAAGTGATGCAGGGATTTGGTAGCCCGTTGTTTTGTTTATTTGGTGTGGCAGCACAGAAATACAGTTGCCGTCAAGACTCCGAGTCGTGCGCGTATGGGGTTTGAAACACAAAGCATCGATCGTATTTGTCGATAGCGGGTCAAACCCGAGACACTCACCCGCGCGGACATAACATGGCGCGGTCGGTAGGACACGATCCTGCGGTGGAAAACTCCATTACGGCGGCACAGCATCCGCTGGGCCCCGAGCCAGCAGCAGCGCACGTGGCGGCGGCGGCGGCGGCGGCGGCGCCGCAGGCGCCGCCAGCGGTTTTACAGCCCATGCAGGCCGCCGCGGAGGAGCACAAGACGTCCACAGTTGATGTGCTGACACAGCTGGTCACGCAGCAACAGCAGATGACCGAGCTAATGACGCGAGTCATGTCACCGGGGATAGCCGCCGCGCAGCCAGCGAGCCAGGTGACTCAACGCGCCACAAATGCCAGCCAGCGGTGGTCCGCCGCGCCGGCGATCGACTGTTTCTGCGCCGCGGCTGCCGTCCTCTGCATCCTGCGGGACTTTGATGCATGGCGCTACCGGTTCCAGGAGTTCCGCGTCTCCGAGCGCCTGTCGGAGCTGCTGCCCACCGAGCAGCGGGCTACGCTGCTGACATCACTGGACGACGAGTGACTGAGAGTCGTGCGTTTTAGTCTGCCCATATCCACGAGCGAAGAGGACATCGATGTGACTATCACCGCAATGCTCGCCATCTGCGGCGGCAACGAAATCTTGTGCTGGACCGCCGAGATTTTGATATTCCGGTACAGGAGCGCGGAGAGGCGGTGAACGAATATTTGTGCGCCCTCCGTGAGATCGCTGCATTTTGTGATTTGTGCCCAGCCTGCCACAACGATCATCTGCGCGACCGGCTGGTAGTTGGCACGAACGACGAGGAGGCTCGCCGCCGCATGCTGGAGGTGCCCGACCCGACGTTGCGCCAGGCCTTCGACATATGCCGGGCGTCGGAAAATGCAGCGAACACCAGCACGGCGATAGGCGGCTCAGCGGCGGTTTCAAAGGTCTCGAGCTACCGCCGGTCGCGCAGCCGAGCGGTCAGCCCCAGCAGCCGCAGCCCCAGCGTCTCGGGCACAGACGGCCGGGCCGGGCCGACATGTTGGAAGTGCGGTGCGCGGCCCCATACCGACGGTGCAACGTGCCCGGCGGCGTCCCGGAGATGCCATTGCTGCGGTCAAGTGGGACACTTCACCGCTGCGTGTCCCACCGGGGCCGGCCGTGACGGCGGTCCGTCGACACCGACGCGTGGCCGTGCAAGGTCGACGGGCGGTCGCCGGCGGATGTCGCTGGTGGCGTACGCTCAAGTGAGCTCGGAGCGCGGGCCGTCAATCCGACGCACGGAACACGTAGCTGACCTGCTGCAACGAGGACACATGGCCCGTCGGACCCCGCGCGGTCGTTTGCAGCTGCGCCGCGCGGACGGCGGCGTGTCGGAGACGGAATGGACACCGGACACAGGAGCTGAGACTTCAGCCCTATCGCTTCGCAGCGCGGAAAAGATGGGCCTGCGTGCTAAGGACCTTCAGCCGCCAGTCACACGTCTGCTGAACGCCGACAACTGGGGAATGGAGTGCGTCGGCACCAGCAGCGTCACACTGCAGCTGGGTGACGTCGTCAGGACAGTGGATGTGTCCGCGATTCGCGGTCTGCACAGCCCTCTGCTGTCCTGGCACGACTGCATGGAGCTCGGCATACTCCCTCCGAGCTTCCCGGCGCAGATTCGACAGGTCAGCAGCGGCCCGCTGCGCCAGCTGACGCCGGATCAGCATGTCACCGTTGCGTCACCGCCCGCGGCGCGCTCTCCGCCGGCCGCCGGGTACCGGCGCCCCGGGACCACGTCTGTCCCGGACAGCGGCGCGGCCAGCTTCAGCGCTACCGGTGCCGGGACAGGGCCGACGGTGTCAGTGGCGGCGGCGCACGGCGCCGCGCAAGAAGCTACGTCGAAGCAGCGAGAAGCCGGCTCGTCCTCAGACACAGAGATGGAACCGCCCATAGCAAAGCCGGAGCGCCTCGCTGGGACCGGCGGCGCCGCCCCGACAGGGCAGAGAACAGTGGCGGCTCCCCAGCACAGCAGAGCACCGGTGGCACCCCCTCGGCCCAGCAACGGAAACACCAGTTCGATGCACTGAAGGCTGAGTTTCCCCGCGTCTTCGACGTCCAATCACCTCTACGGAAGATGGTGGGTGAGCCGATGCGAATAGAGCTGACAGATGACGCCGTCCCCCATGCGCTATCGACAGCGAGGAACATTCCGTTCTGCTGGGGACAGGATGTCAGAGAGTAGCTGGACGACCTCCTCAACAAGGACATCATGGAGCTCGTCGAGCACCCCACGCCATGGTGTCACCCCATTGTCCCGGTGGCGAAGCGGTCGCCAGATGGTGCAGTGTTAGGTTTCCGCCTCATATAGTCAATATTGCGAAGCTGAATCGATTCGTAAAGAAGCCGGCCTACCCAGTCCGCTCGCCGCAGGACGCGGTGGCAGCAATCACGCCTGGCGCGACGGTCTTCACCAAGCTGGACAGCAAGGCCGGCTACCACCAGGTCCCAATGAGAGAGGAGGATCAAGATCTGACGTGCTTCATCACGCCGTGAGACAGGTTCAGGTACAAGAGGGCCCCGATGGACATCGTCAGCTCAGGTGATGTCTACAACCAGCGCGGCGATGCCGCCCTGGGAGACATCCCGAATACCTGCAAAGTGGTGGACGTTGTGCTCGCCTATGACTGAGCACGAAGCCCATGTGGCGCATGTGCGCCAAATACTCCAGCGGTGCGAAGAGCATGGGATCACCCTGAACCCGGAAAAGTGCAGCTTCGCAGAGGCAGAAGTAGAATTCTGCGGCTGCAGCATCAGCTCGACTGGCTACACCGGTGACGATAAGAAGATTTGAACCATGAAGTCGTTCCCGAAGCCCAGCAGCATCACCGACCTGAGATCATTCCTCGGCCTAGTCAACCAGCTGGGGTCCTTTCCCTCTGACGTCGCCGCGACCGCTGAGCCGCTCCGTCAGCTGCTGCGGCCGCGGAACACTTGGCTATGGACGCCGGCCTACGATCAGGCGTTCGCCGCCGTGAAGATGGCGCTGCTGTGGCCTCCCGTGCTGGACTTTTTCAATCCGCTGCGGCGGACGGTGCTGGAGACTGACGCAGCCCGCGCCGGTGGTCTCGGTTTCTGTCTCCGTCAGCTGGGCCAAATATTGTTTCT